CCAGCAAAAACAGGTTATTGTGTGTGTGTGTGCGCGCGTGTGCTCACACACGCGTGCCCGCACACATGCACGCTAGTCCTAGGGCTTGAACTCAGTGCTTGTAGGGAATTCCCTTTTGTTTACAGTATTCATAGATGAGGGCTGAACCTTTTACAAATAATTTAGCTTTCAGAGATTCTGGTTTATAATAAATTCCACTGTGTATGACGCCACTATTATGTCCAGTCTGGTGAACAGCTAAATCCTTCTCCTTTTCCAGGACACCAATTTTAAGTTGAGGATGTCTCAGGGCGAGTGCTCTCGCAGAGGCAAGTCCCACAATTCCACCACCGACAACAACTATATCAAATGAGCTGTGGAAAAAAAGCCACTTTTAAAGACTTGCCTGTCTATAGTAGATCCCACCACACTTCACATGAACAACTTTTATCATCAATGGACAACTACTCTTTTGTAATAACTATCATATATATGTATATATGCATATGTACACATGTATACATATGTGTATATATGTGTGTAAATAACTCTCTATATATGGTACTATTTCTCTTCATACTCAAGAACAAACCTTTAAAAGTTCCACACTTGGGGCTGGGAAGGTGGCTCAGTGGTAGAGTGCTTGCCTTGCAAGCCTGAGGCCCTGGGTTCGATTCCTCAGCACCACATAAGCAAAAAGAAAAAAGCCAGAAGTAGCGCTGTGGCTCAAGTGGTGGAGCGCTAGCCTTGAGCTGAAGAGCTGAGGGACAGCACCCAGGCCCAGAGTTCAGGCCCTACAACCGGACCCAAAAAAAAAAAAAAAGTTCCACACTTGGTCATTTGATTAGTGACAGCCTGACAGGGAGGATGGCAGCTTGGTTTCCAAAACTATACTATATCTCTAGTACCTGCTAGCTGGGCCAGTTATATTAGTGCTTACTTTGTGTCAATCATTATATTTTCTCTACCAACTATCCTTTTAAATTCAATTGTAGTATTCTTCAAGATAGGCTAACACATACTATAATATATATAATATATAATATTCTATTATAGAAAAAGCAATGAGAAAATCAAAGCTTAGAAATAATTGGTCCAGGATGTGCTCAGAATCATAATCTTAGATATGAAATTGGTTATGCAGCTATTTAAAAATACATAACGGTGTGTATAATTTATCTAACTCTGCAATGAAAACCTTAAAAATTACTTTCAGCACTGATTCATGGACCACAAATCATGATGATTTAATCTATTTTATAAGCACGGTAAAGTAAGGTAAGTGGTCTAGGTTATTCTTTTGAAAAGTGATCTAAACTTCAATTTTAAGATCCTAAGCGGGGCTGGGAAGGTGGCTCAGTGGTAGAGTACTTGTCTTGTATGCATGAGGCCCTGGGTTTGATTCCTCAGCACCACATAAGCAGAAAAAGCTGGAAGTGGTGCTGTGGCTCAAGTGGTAGAGCACTATCCTTGAGCTGAAGAGCTGAGGGACAGTGCCCAGGCCCAGAGTTCAGGCCCCACAACTGACAAAAAAAAAAAAAAAGATCCTAAGCAAAGGCTGGTCACTGGTGGCTCATGTCTATAATCTTAGTTACTCAGGAGGCCAAGATTTGACAATCAAGGTTTGAAGCCAGTCCAGGCAGACAAATCTAAGAGACTTTTATCTCCAATTAGCTAGCAAAAAGCCAAATTGGCTTTTTTTTATAGCTTAAGTGGTAGAGCACCAGCCCCAAGCCAAAAAAAAAGACAGCAAGAAGTACAGAGTTTAAGCCCTAGATCCCACCCTACACACATCTCCTCAAGAGATGCAGAATGATTTGATTACAATCATTATCATGTCTGCAGTCAGGTCTAGAAGTAGAAACAGTTAGGGACTAGCATAATGTTGATAAATCAAAAATTGCATTTTCCTTGTATTTTCTGGTGCCAAAAGCCAGGAGGAGTTTTGGAACAGAAGAGGTCCAGGCTTCATCCCCACCATTCAATCTCCTAACTCTCTTTCTCCCTTCCCTCTCTCTCTCTCCCTCTTTCCCTCCCTTTCCTCTACAATCTCTGATATGGGCCATTTGCCACATTTTGAGCCCCAGCACCCAAAACAGGATGCTGATGCTTTTTCCATTAATGGAGATCAGTGGTCAAAATTCCTGACTTACTCCTGTGCTGCCTCTTAAAACATCTTGCTCCCTTAAACTGCTTTGTCTGGCCATCATATACACTGGACAACCAGTCTTGGTGGCCTGGATTCAGAACTTCCAAATTCCAGATTCTTTACCACAGTGATAATTTCATATAGAGAAAGGTAAGAGCTTCCTTATTCAAGCTTTCTTCTACCTTAGCTTCCATCTTTCTCTATGCAAATGGTGCACCCCCTACTAGATCCTGTTACTGGATGACCACCCTAAAACCTCCTCCAATTCATGTCCTTCCACCATTACCCCCACTGAGCCTGCCTCCTCTTTAGACTGGCTAATCCTTCTCTTCTCCCAGACCTGACCACTGCCCCTCATCTTCTGTCCCCTATTCACACCTAGTTCCACACCACCAGTGCCATTCTTATCCTCCCACTGCAGGAAACGGCTGGAGTTAAAGTTCCCATTTTGCATTCACAGATATCACGCAGATAGTAGAAAAATTGAGCTCATTCTCAGACAATACCACCAAAGTCAGGAAGGAAATATCCAGCCAAGCATAAGGTCTCACCTGGACATTAATTTCTTCAACCCTTTCCCAATATCAGAAGGAAAAGAATATTGGACTCAGTGGAATAACATGCTGATCATTTTTGTATACGCAGCAGCCCAATCAGCACTCTGTCAGTCCAGACAGGCACTTGGGGCCTGTTTCTGCTGTGGTAATTCAGGACTGGATCAAAGTCTGTCCCAGCCCAAGAAGCCCTGCCCCTCTGCCAGCATAGGGGACATTGGTAAATTACTTATTTCTAAAGGAGGCAGACATCCCAGGGTTCAAACACAATTACCATGTTCCCCACCTGAACAGCTGATTCCAGGCCACTTTTCCATCTAAGTGACTGATGGACAGGACCTGGATCATACAGCACCTGCAACAGGCAAGTCCACTGATCTGAGAGTCACTGGAATGGGAAAGTGTTATTTCCACACAAAGGCCTCCTCCATCATTGGAATGAAGGGAACCCCAGAAAATCCCCTAAAAACTCCATTGCATTGCATCTTTGGGTCCCATTCTTTCATGCACTCCTTCCTAGTCCTCCCCAATCACACATCCCCTTTATTGGGTCAGGATCTTCACTGCTTGGGAGTACTCTTTCCTTCCTAGGATTCAAGGGACACCACCCCAAGCAATTCTCCCCCACCTTTCCTGCCTCCAGGACCTTCTACCACCCAAAATGATTCCTGATGCAAAGACCTTTCATAAATTAACCTCTTTCTGGGACACATTCCACCCAGCTATGCCCTCATATCACATTCCTGTTCTCATTTCCACATAAAGTCTCCACCCATATTGTAACTGTTCTCCAATAATCCCTTGACAAAGAGGGGCACCAAAGCTTCAAACCTGAACTGATTATCTCCTCAGCTCCACCTCCTGATTCCCATCCATTTCCCTCCAAAATACCACCATCCTGCCCATGAAACAGCCCATCTGTTCTCTCTGCTTAGTTCAAGATTTATGTACCTATCTGTTGTCCCTAATCCCTACACTTTCCTGTCTCTTATTTCCATCTGAGCTCAAGGATGCCTTTTCCTCTTCCCTTATGTCCCACTTCACAACCTCTTTTCACCTTGGAAAACCCCTATTTTATTTTAAAAATGTCATATTTGTTGATGATGTTTATTTATTTTTTTAATTTAATTTAATTTGTGAACATACTGTACAGAGGGGTTACAATTACATGGGCAGGATAATGCATACATTTCTTACCAAGCATTGCAGCCTCCTCCTTTTGTTTACCCTTCACATCCCTTCCCAGCCTCCCCCCTCCCCAGGTGATGATGTTTATTAAATCAGCTATAACCAGACATTTTCTAAGATCAGTATGATTTTATGAAGTCAATGCTTAAAAGGAAAGCTGATATTATATATGGCTTACAAATTTAAAAAAGGTTAAAAACAAAATCTACAGATAAGGTCAAATCAATTTTTCAGTCCTGGGCTTTGTGTCCAGCAAAAACAGGTTATTGTGTGTGTGTGTGCGTGCGTGTGCTCACACACGCGTGCGCGCACACATGCACGCTAGTCCTAGGGCTTGAACTCAGGGCCTGGGTGTTATCTCTAAGCTTTGTGCTAAAGGCTAGCAATCTTATTACTTGAGCTGCACCTCTCCTTAAATCTCAGCCTCCAGAGTATGATTATAGGTGTGAGCTACCTGTGTTCAGCTACAGCAAAAAGGTTTTAGGGGCTGGGAAGGTGGCTTAGTGGTAGAGTGCTTGCTTTACATGCATGAGGCCCTGGGTTTGATTCCTCAGCACCAGATAAGCAAAAAGAAAAAAGCTGGAAGTGGCGCTGAGGCTCAAGTGGTAGAGTGCTAGCCTTGAAGAGCTGAGGGACAGCGCCCAGGCTCAGAATTCAGGCTCCATGACCGACGACCCCCCCCCAATAAAAAAAAAAAGGTTTTAAGAGTTCAACCTAAGATTTGTTATAAAAGTTCTAGCAAAAAGGATTAAAAAAGCTCACTACAACAGTAACTTTTAATTAATATTTAATAAGCCAATGCTAATTGTTTTAACCACTAAAGACACTATGGTTAACAGTTTAACCTGGATATAAACACCAAAAAATCAGCATTTCATCTCAAAAAGTTGGTTTGACCAGTTTTTCCTAAAAGTATATTTTATAAAATACTTCCTCAGGAAAAATAAAAACATTCTAACATGTAACATTATTACTAAATCTAGTAAAAATATCAAATTTTATGCCATTAGTGTAGCTTATACATTCTTCACATTATTTCTTCATAATGTAAACTTTAAACAAATGATAGAATAAAAATGCCTGTTTAATATACCTGCTAAAAGGAATTATTCATAAAATGTTTTTCAGCCAATTTTTTTTTGGGGGGGGTCAGTCGTGGGGCTTGAAATCTGGGCCTGGGTGCTAGCCCTGGGCTCTTCAGCTCAAAGCAAGTGCTTTACCACTTCACAGTGCCACTTCTGGCTCTTCAGCTCAAGGGGAGTGCTCTACCATTTGAGCCATCTGGTGGTTATTAGAGCTAAGAGTCTCATGGACTTTCCTGACTAGGCTGGCTTTGAACTTCAATCCTCAGATCTCAGCCTTCTGAGTAGGTAGGATTACAAGCATGAGCCACCTGCACCTGGCTAATTTTTGTTTTAAATCAAATGTGATCAGATTTCTTAATAAACAAAAAATGTGCTAATATGAACTTAAAATGGACAAAAAAACCAGCAAGTGAAAATCAACAATGAAAAAAGTATATAGAAAAGTATGAAGGCATGTTTTCTAAAAAAGGAAATTTAAATTGGGTGCCAGTGGTTTATGCTTGTAATCCTAACTATTCAGGAGGCTGAGATCTGAGGGTATTGGTTCAAAGCCAGCCCTGGCAACAAAGTCTGTGAGACTCTAATCTCCAATTAAGTACCAATTAGAGGGAAATGGAGCTGAGGCTCAAGTAGTAGAACACTAGCTTTGTGCATAAAAGCTCAGGAATAGTGCCTAGGCCTTGAGTTCAAGCCTTAGGACCAGGGAAAAAAAAAAAAAAGCAGAGAGAAGATGCTTTGGGATAAGGAGGATTTTTGAAAAGTAAGACTTAGTCCTTAACCGGTTGTTCTGAAATGAATTAAGACAAATCTCAGAATGCTCAAAACAGTAGCAGAGTATGTGAGTATGTTTTGAGTTTTATAAGATTAAGATTATAAAATATTGGCAAGATTGGTATGTGATTAGGTAATGTAATTAGGTAATGTAAAACATTACCGAAAGGTTTTACTAAGGTAAAAGCCATCTATTGTCTGTAACAAGGAGGCTTCCTTAAGGAAAAATACTGTTTACCAAAGTAATTGCTTGGGTAGTTGATCTTGTCAAGTTTTTGATAACTTAAAAATCTATCTTAAAGTCAGGCACCGGTGACTCATGCCTGTAATCCTAGCTACTCTGGAGGCTGAGATTTGAGGATTGCCGTTCCAGCCTGGGCAGGAAAAGTCTGGGAGACTATTACCTCCAATAAACCACTCAGAAAACTGGAAGTGGCGCTGTGGCTCAACTGGTACAGTGCTAGCCTTGAGCTGAAGAGCAGAGGCCCAGAGTTCAAGACCCATGACTGACAAAAAAAAAAATACCAAAAACCTATCTTAACAAAGTTAAAATTCATTTAAATAATTGTTTATCCAAGGTCTCTTAGGTCCCATGGTTTCCCTTATTTGTAATATCTAGTATATGTATGAGTCAAGCGGAAAAGGTCAGATAATGTGATGTTAGGAAAATGAAGCGTTAGATGTGTATTTTAATGTTTTTTTCTTTCATGCATGTGTTTCTAATGCATTTATAAGATTATCTCTTTGTTGCTTTGTATGTCCCTCCCCCACAGTATAACCCCTGCTTTCACTATATTTGATGTCAGTATAACTTGTGGAGGAGATGGGGAAAAAACCAGTTGTTTAAGGATACAGGTGGACCTGTTGCAACAATGAGAAGTACAAGTTGTCATGTCCAAAACTAGCTTTACAACGTCGGTGGGGGGGGAGGGGGGGAAGGGGGAGAAGGAGAAGGATTGGGATTGGCGGGGGAGGTGGGGAGCCTGGGAAGGGATGTGAAGGGTAAACAAAGGAGGAGGCTGCAATGCTTGGTAAGAAATGTCGCATTATCCTGCCCATGTAAGTGTAACTCCTCTGTACAGCATGTTCACAAATAAAATAAAATTAAAAAAAGATACCAAAAACCTATCTTAACAAAGTCAAAATTCATTTAAATAATTGTTTATCCAAGGTCTCTTAGTGGTCACTTTATAACTAAGTTTGTAAAACTGTGTATTAGTTCATTTTTCTACCTTATTAAACATGTCAAATCTCTTAAAAGATTTTAGTGCTGGCAGCTGGTGATTCACACCTGTAATCCTAGATACTCAGAAGGCTAAGATCTGAGGTTGGCTGTTCAAAGCCAGCCCAAGCAGGAAAGCCTATTGTTATAAATATGGTCTCCAAGAGCTGGAATCACAATAGATATGAGAATGATGTCTTAGCAAGACAAAATTTATTTCTGCACAGAAAGGGGTGCCATCAGCCAATGATCAGCAGGAAGTCTGCTCTATCCCTCACACAACAGGCCTAGCTCCTCTGCTCAGATTGGTTGACCTCAGGTTCACAATCTGTTTGGGATTGGCTAGTCTGAATAGGATAAAATGTATTTACATAACAAGATTTTGAAATAAGATTATCAGTACACAAGTAATCTCAAAATATCCACACCCTCTGCTATTTCTTGAACAGTCAGGGGTGTGTCTTAACTCCATCTAGAAAGGAAACCAGTTAAAGACAAAACCTTACATTTCAAAAATCCTTTTTTTATTCCAATCCCTCTTTTCCTTATCCAGGGCCAAGCCACAAGGCCAAAGCAGGAACTTTTAAGCAACACACTTTAACCAGGGAAGACAATTTTTCCCACACTATGAGATTCTTATCTCCAATAAACTACTAAAATTCCAGAAGCAGAGTTGTGGCTCAAGTGGTAGAGCGTGAGCCAGGACGGGCGCATGCACGCGCGCGCGCGCGCGCACACACACACACACACACAAAAAGGGTTTTAGTCATCCTTAAGTCCTATCTAGATAAACAAAAAGGAACAATAAGAATATATATATCTGCCAGAGACCTATTAGCTATAAAGTCTCTCCCCTTTTCCTTTTCCTCCCCCTCCCGCCCCTCCAGCCATGTGGACCACAGCTGGGATGTAGAGAGAACCCTCTCAGGTTTTCTCTGGGTCGCTCCTCGTCTCTGACTCTCACTGCTCACTCTATTCCTTACAAAACCACTCTTCCCACCAGCGATCTTGAGACTCTTCTGCGCCTTTACCGAGATCAAGTGATTGATGCCCCCTACCGAGGCCAGGTTCACTCCAGACCAACACTTTCTTCTGGCTCATAAATGCCACAGGTCAACCCCGCAGTTTTTAGCTTCTAGGACCAGAGGTCGGAGCTCCAAACCGCGTCCGGGAGGAACAGGCCAGGACACAAGTCCGGCACGAGACGCCCCCTGACAGGAGCGCGGGCGCCGGGCCCGCGGCAACTCACCTGGTGCTGGCGCGGCGGCTACCCCCGCACAGCGGCCTGGGTCTCCCCGACGCCGACCCGCTAAAGCCTCCCAGGAAGCCTCCGAGGGCCTGTCTGCAGGAGCCACGGAGGTAACGCAGCACCGCCACCATCGCCGGCTCCCCCGTCCTCGACCTCAACCTCTCGACGTCGCTGCCAGAACCCAGCCACACTGCGCGGGTCCCGCTACGCACTGGTCCCGCCTCCACAGAGGCCAATGAGACGCGCGCCTTCGAACCACGTGAGATGTGGCGAATGAGTGCGCGCGGCGGAGGGCGGACGGCAAGGGCAAGACGCAGGACGCAGTGACGCAACCTGAGCACGCTCCCTCGCTCCCTCCCTCCCTACGACGCTGTGAGTAGAGGCTCTTAAGCCTGCGCGGGGCGGGGCTGGGGTGGTGGTTACGCTCGATCCCTTTCCCAGACCCAATGGTGGGCTGACTGAACATTTGACCCCAATCAAGTCTCGAATCTTGAATTTTCATTGCTCAGCCGAGTAGGGCCGCGGAAGAAAATGTGGGCGTAACTATGGCGAAAACCTTGTTCGGTTGGCCAGAGTTCGCCCTGGTCTTCAGGCCCCGGTCGGCCGCGCCCTGTCCGGTCCCACCCTGCCAGGCCCCGCCCCCTAGAGCGTGTGGAGCGGCGTTGCTGGGCAACCGGCCAGCGTTGCGCTCTGTGTCGGCTACAGGGCTTCCTCCCTTCGGGCACCCGGACTCTAAGGCTCGGGGTCTCGGCCGCGCTTGCAGCCTTCTGGACTTTTTAATGGGCTCCTAGGGGTGCCATTTATTCCGTCGTCCTTTGGTCTTGTAAACACCGAGCGCCTACTCTTCCGACCGGGCACTGGGTCCTGGATGAACCTGACAGCTCGCCTTCGGTCATCACTTAGCATTCCGGGTCTTTTTCGAGGTACGGAGGGGTTGGAACTCAGGACCTCTTGATTTCTCTAGGAGGATCTCGGTCACTTGAGCCACACCCCTCGCCTATCTGTGCTTTGGCCATCTTTTTCAGATTGAGGCTCCTAGACTTTTTGCCTTGGGCTGGCCTGGGGTCAGGACCCTCCTGTACCCTGTGCCTTCTGAGTGCCGCTGCAGTCCCCAGTCACCTGTTAGTTTATTTTGCAGAATCTGGCCTGGAATCCCTGTCATCCCAACCTTTGCCTCTTTGGGAACCGGAATTACAGGAGCGTACCACCTAGTTAGAGCTTCTGTTCTTCCTTAAAAAGTAAACACGCTCTTTGTTTGTTGTTGTCAGTGCCCACCCTAGAGCACTGCTTTTTTGCTCAAGGCTAGTGGGCCAGGCTCTGGGGTACAGCTTGTACCACAGCTCCACCTCTGGCGTTTTTGGTTAATTGAAGATAAGAGTCTCTTAGACTTTCTTCCCGGGCTGGCTTTGAACGGTGATCCTCAGATCTCAGCCTCCTGAGTAGCTAGGATTACAGGCATGAGCCACAGGCGCTAGGATGTTAGACAAGTTTTTGTTGTTGTTGTTTTGTTTTTAAATAACAGCCAGCTACCTGTGTAGGTTACTTTACCCATGTTTCCTTATCTATAAAACCTGGGTAAGGGGCCACCTAATCTCTAAAGCACTTGTAAAGTGTAAAATTTGTGTGATTCTGTCAGTTTGCCAGTGCCATACCCATTCTTCTCTGCTGACAGCAGTCTTTAACTTTTAAGATCAGCACCACTGAACAAAACTAAGGATAGAATGACATAACTTTATTGCTGGAAGGACTCTGAATCTTAGTTCCAGTCATGAGGTAGGTGGCTCAGGAAAGTCACTCACTTTATTTTTTGGCTGGTCGTGGGGCCTGAACTCTGGGCCTGGGAGCTGTCCCCTCAGCTCTTCAACTCAAAGCTAGCGCTCTACCACTTGAGCCACAGCACCACTTCCAGCTTTTTCTGTATGTGGTGCTGAGAAATCGAACCCAGGGCCTCATGCGTGCAAGGCAAGCGCTCTACCACTGAGCCCCTCACTCACTTTATTTTTTTAATTTAATTTTTTTTTGTCAAGGTGTGTGGTACAGAGGGGTTATGGTTACATACATAAGATAGTGAGTACATTTCTTGTTGAACATTGTTACTCCCTCTCTCGTTTTCTCCCTCACTTCTTTCTTTGCCTCAGAATCCCTTCTGTGGTGTAGAGCCATTGAATTGATTCCATGTGAAAAAGCTCATCAGATGCTGGGTACAGAGAAGCACTAGGTAAACAACTTTTATTATGCTTAAATGGTTTTATCCTAAGAATAATATATATTTTGCTTTGTGGGAAAAAAGTAGAACATGGCTATTTTGTTTCATCACAAGTGAAAAAAAGTGGGCTTTTTAAATCATTTTTTTGAGATGATAGGTTCCCATACAGGTGTAAGATCTTGTGTATATTTCATCCATCTCCTCTGGTGATATCACTTTGTAAAACTATTGTATGAGATCATAGCTGGTTGCTAGTAGCTCTTTCCTGTTGTAAGCCACCTTGTGTCCTTACACCCCACCACCACCCTCACCCCCCATCCAAATTGTTTTATGTTTAAATACTTCATTCTATAATATAGATATACTATGTTTAATCATTTCTTCTTTGAAAGACATGTGAGGCTGAGAGTGTGGTTTACTCCTATAATCTATGGAAAACAGTTCCAGATAATCCAAGCAAAACCTTGGCAGACCTTAATCTGGCAAACAAGCCAGACATGGTGGGGGCACATCTGTAATCCCAGTGGCAGTGTAACAGACTGAGGACCCTGCGCAAAAATTGAGATGCTGTCTGAAAAAATAATAAGCAAAAACGGTCTTGCATAGCAAATAGGAGCCTGAAGTTTACAACAACAACAATAACAACAAAAAGACACCTGAATTTCCAGATTTTAGATGTCATAATTAAAGCTGTTAGTAACATAAGTGTACAGCTTTTTGTGTGTATCAATTTTTGTTTCTCTAGGATTAGTGCTCAAGAATCCAATTGCTGAGTCATATGGTGAGAGCATGTTTAATTTTGTAAAAAGTCATCTGTTTTCCATGTAGCAATATCATCTTATATTCCCACCAGCATTGTGTGATTGTCACCAACATTGTGATGGGATTTTTTAAATTGTAACTATTCTGATAAGTATACAGTAGAGATAGTTATTTTTTAGCTCACACAGGATTATGGTAGAATATGGAATTATATGGTCCCAGGAGCTTTGATCAGACTTTTCTGAGCTAGCTAGGCTCACAGTTTTGATTTTTTTTTAAACTACAGTGTGTTTTTTGAGATTCTGCTTAGTTTAGCAAGGGTAAATAACTCAGAATACACATATCTTTTTATAAAACTTTCTTTTTTGTGTTTTTAAAATTTTTTATTATCTTTATGTGGTTGTACAAAGAAGTTCCCATTCTACAAAATAGTATATGAATACCAAGTGTCTGATAACATTGTCACCCATTGATCCTAACCTATCCCTTCCTAGCCCACCCCTTCTCTCACTTTTCTTTCTTTTTTTAATTGAGATTAGGTGATTACCTAGATTTCACATATTTCACAATATTTATAAAACTTTCTTTGAGCCGGGCACCCATGGCTCATGCCTGTAATCCTAGCTACTCAGGAGGCTGAAATATGAGGATCGCTGTTCAAAGCCGTGGTTCAAAGCCAGCCTGGGCAGGAAGGTCCATGAGACTCTTTATCTCCAAGAAACCACTAGAAAACTGGAAGTGGTGCTGTGGCTCAAGCGGTAGAGCGCTCGCCTTGAGCTGAAGAGTGCAGGGACAGCGCCCAGGCCCAGAGTTCAATCCCCATGACTGGCAAAAAAAAAAAAAAAACCTTTCTTTGTTTGCTTCCCCCATTTCAAGGGTTATACAATAGTTGTTATAGTTAAGTAATTCAGATCAAGAGTTTGCCTTGACTTCATTCAGATAATTTGAATAATATCTGTGGGTAAAAACATTTGTGTTTGTGACCCCCATCTTCAGATGAGAATTTATGTTCCAGGAGTACCATTTGATGGCCTAAGAGTGGCTTTGGGGACCTTTGCTTCTAATTTTTAATGAATTGCTGTTGATCTGTTTCATTTGATTTTACACACTTCAAGATAAGAACTGGAAAGCCAGGCTTGGTGGTGTATACTTGTAATCTTAAGTATTCTGGAGGGGGGCTGGGAAGATGGCTCAGTGCTAGAGCGCTTGCCTTGCATGCATGAGGCCCTGGGTTCGATTCCTCAGCACCATATAAACAAAAAGAAAAAAGCCGGAAGTGGCGCTGTGGCTCAAGTGGTAGAGTGCTGGCCTTGAGCTGAAGAGCTGAGGGACAGCGCCCAGGCCCAGAGTTCAGGCCCCATGACCGGACCCCCCCCCCAAAAAAAAAGAAAAAGAAGTTAAATCTTAAAAAAAAAAAAGTATTCTGGAGGATGGCAGTTCAAGGTCAGCTGGAACCAAAGTTAAAGCCTATCTGATAAACTTAAAAAGTTAGAGGACTGGGACTGGAAAGGTGGCTCAGTGGTAGAGCGCTTGCTTTGCATGTATGAGGCCCTGGGTTCGATTCCTCACCACCACATAAGCAGGAAAAAAAGCCAGAAGTGGCACTCTGGCTCATGTGGTAGAGTGCTAGCCTTGAGCTGAAGAGCTGAGGAACAGCGCCCAGGCCCAGAGTTCAGGCCCCACGACCAGAACCCCCCCCCAAAAAAAAAAACTAGAGGACTGGGAGTGTGGCTCAAGTGGTAGAATCATATAGTTCAAATGGTGAACAATGAGCGACTTACAGTGGGATAGTTATAATTAGGGAAAATCTACCCCTATTCTAATGCCTTCCCCACCTCCTCCAACCCTTATCCACGCAAATCTGGGCTTGAATTCAGGACCTTGGCTTGGTCCCTAAGCTATTTTACTCAAGGATAGTGCTCTACTACTTGAGCCACAGCTCCGCTTCTGGCTTTCTGATGGTTAATTGGAGATAACTGTCTCATGAGCTTTCCTTTTTTAGCTGATTTTGAAAGCAGTCCTCAGATCTCAACCTCATGAGTAGCTAGGATTATAGGCATGAGCCACTGGTGCCAGTAACTCTAGTCTTTTTGACCACCAAATTATTCATAACTTTCAATATCCCACTCAGTATTTACTTAATTTTATGTGTGTGCTGGTACTGGGGCTTGAACTCAGAAGCCTCATGCTCTCCCTTGGTTTTTTGGGATTTTTCCCCTTAAGGCTGGTGCTCTACCACTTGAGCCATACCTCTACTTCCAGGTTTTTTTTTCTGATTAGAGATATGTCTGCCCAGGCTGGCTTTAAAACCCAATTCTCAGATCTCAACCACCTGTAGCAAGGATTATAGAGACATGAGCCACTAGCCTCCATCACTTGACTATAATTATATTTAGTATGCAAAATCCTAACTTCCACTTTAAAAATATTACTGGTGTCTTCATTAGTTTGTTTTGTGGTAATGGTGTTTGAACTCAGGGCCTTGCGCTTGCTAAGTAGGAGCTCTACTTGAAGCATACTCTAGACCAAAATATTTGTTTTATACAAATGGGAAAACTCAGTCAAGCTCAGAAAACCCTTTGTATTTTTAATAACCTATTAAAGGTCCACTCTAAGTCACAGATAATTTCACATACAATTTCAAGGTTTAGAAACACTGGTCCTAAGCCATGTTCTTACAGTAAATCCCCCCCCCCATAATTTGAATTCCTGGATTATTTACAGCCCCATTTAATCATAGTTATTTTCCAACTTGATTTTCATTGGTTTTAACTTATTAGAACCAAATACACCAATTTACCACTAGAGGTCTCTTCTTACCATGTAGAAAGCATTCCCATGGGGAGCTGTTTGCATTTAAGAAGGATTAACTCCTAAAATTAGTAATGTTCCACTTGAGAATGTAAAAACCCACCATTTTTAAAAACAATTATTGCCAAATAGAATTTATTTTTCGTGATAATTCACTTGAAATATAATACCTGTTTTTTTTTTCAAAAAAAGAGATCATATCTAAGGTAAATTTGACCTTCCCATTAAACAAGTATAAAATGGGCCAAAAAGAATCTTAATAACAGTTCTAGTGGTTGACTTTTATTCATGGATATTTACTAATTGTTTAAGACTGCCAACAGTATTTTGTTAAATGTTTATGCTGATAAAAATGGAAGTAAGATGTAATGTCATTTTCTTCTGTTCTTATTTTTGCTTTGCATGCTTTGTCTTTCATCCTCACTGAAAACTCTTAATCCCTTAAGACCCATCTCAAAAGACACCTCTGGCCAAAGCTTTCCCCTCAGTTTTCTAGCCTCTCAGAGCACTTATTAACATGCATTAAGAAGAGTAACATAGGGGCTGGGAAGGTGGCTCAGTGGTAGAGTGCTTGCCTTGCATGCATGAGGTCCTGGGTTCAATTCCTCAGCACCACATAAGCAGAAAAGGCTGGAAGTGGTTCAAGTGGTAGAGCTCTAGCTTTGAGCTGAAGAGCTGAGGGACAGTGCTCAGGCCCGAAGCTCAGGGCCCACAACTGGCAAAATAAACATTTAAAAAAAATTAAAAATTAAAAAAAAGAAAAGTAACATACTGTAAAATGCTTATCTGTTTACACATCATCTGTCTTTTCCAATAGATTCTATGTGCTATGAAGACAGGAACCAGATCTTTTTCTTTGTATTTTTCTCTTTTGTTGTTTCATCTTTCCTTTGTACTAAGCATAGCAGTTGTCCAATAAACATTTATTGACTGAATGAATGAACAATGGATGAACATGACATTTGCATAGTCGAGTTTTGGTACAGTTTCCACAGATAGGATCAAGGGTGGAGTGAAGAGACTAAAAACCTGAGCAGAAGCCCAGATTTGTAAATGAGATACACTGGCAACCAAGGGAGTTATTAGAGATGAGTATGTGAAGAAGCTCAAAGAAAGAGCTGAGTTGAAAACATGCAAGGAGTAACAGCGAGAGGTTTTCAGTAAATGAAGACAATATAGAAAAGAGTTGAAGAGAGGGACTAAGATCATAGATGAGTGGTAGAGGGCTTGACTAACGTACATGTGCATGGCCCTAGGTTTCATTCTCCATACATCAGGAACAGACAGAGGGAAAGGGAGGGAAAGGAGAGAGAAACAGACGGATAAAGAGAGGATAGTAGATTATGTCAGAATTCTGTCATCTTTCATTTTCTGAGCATCCTTAGTGACTTCTTCAGCTCAAAGTGGCTCCCATTCAGACATCTTTCTAGTCGTCTTTCTCTTGAGTTCGAGAACCATCCAGTGATTGAAAAAAAAAGGGACCTAGACTAGTAGTAGCAATACTGGGTTCAAGTTTCAGCGCTGACACCAATTAGCCATGAAACATTGAGCAAGTCCCTTAAAACACATGCATTTCTTAATGCCCCACCTTGTTCCAGAAAGGATTGAAGGTGTCAGCAAGTTACTTAATATCAAGTCTTCGGTTTCCTCATCTCTAAATGAGAAGCTTGGTCTAGGCAACCTAGGTTCCTTCCCACTCTAAGGCTTTATGAATCTGATTCCAATAGTTTGTTGGTCATTCTGCTTAGGAGTCCTACCCACACTTCATATTTGGAGTATGCAAATCTGAAGATTAAGAAAAGAACCTACTGAGCCCACATCATGTTCTGAAGTTCATTTCCCAATAGTAACATTGCCATCCTTCCAATGACCCAGCACCAAAACTTAATGTCATCTTCAACTCTTCTAGTTCTTGCCCCTATATCTCACTGAGCCATATGGAATCTAACTCTAATATCATTCCCTTCCCTTTTTTTACTACATCATTTTCAAAGTGGCTGAAGCCCTGTTGGCTACTTTATTGACCTTTTTTTTTTTTAGACAGTGTTAGCAATGTTGATGACAACAGCTATTCATGCTAGTAGCCTTGAATTACTGGTCTCGAAGAATTCTTGAGCTGGGAATGTGGCTTAATGGTAGAATGCTTGCCTAGCATGCTTGAAGCCCTGGGTTCAGTTCCTCAGTACCACATAAACAGAAGTCGGAAGTGGCGTTGTGGCTCAAGTGGTAGAGTGCTAGCCTTGAGCAAATGAAGCTCAGGGACAGTGCCCAGACCCTGAGTTCAAGTCCCAGGACTGGCAAAATAAAAAATAAAAAAAGAATTCTTGAGTCCTCCTGGCTCAGTCTGTGGAGTAGCTGGATTTGCAGGCCTATACCACAATCCTAGCTTGACTCTCAATGTTGGTTTTGTGTCTAGTAAATTTCCTGATGCATAGCTCTAACAATGGCAGTTTTCTGTTTTAAAACCTCAGTGACTCCCACCTGTCTGCAAAATATAGGCTCTTCCTGACCTGGCTGTGCAAATTGTCAGCTTCTTTTCATGACTGGTCCCCTCCCCGATGTGCTAACCCAACCCTACAATGTCCCTGTGTCAGCTTATCTGGCAAATTAGTCTGTTTAATTCTTCTCGGCCTTACATTAACTCTTTTGAAGCATTCTCAGGTCCTGTCCCTTTTTTTTTTTTTTTTTGTCGGTCGTGGGGCTTGAACTCTGGGCTTGGGCGCTGTCCCTCAACTCTTCAGCTCAAGGTGAGCACTCTACCACTTGAGCTACAGCGCCACTTCCGGTTTTCTGGTGGTTTATTGGAGGTAGGAGTCTCACGGTCTTTCCTGCCCAGGCTGGCTTTGAACCGTGATCCTCAGATCTCAGCCTCCTGAGTAACTAGGATTACAGGCGTGAGCCACCAGCGCCCGGCAGGTCCTGTCACTTATTGAAGTACTTGGTAACTTGTCTTAGGCCATTTCAGCCTGTTTTAAATTGTGAGTTTCTCTAAAGCAGAGGTCACATTAATTTATCTTCTTTTCCCACACAATCTGACACACTACTAGAGAAACATGAATTGGATTAAATCAGATTGGGACCTAGTCAAAACATCACTCTCAACTGTGCTTATTGACTTTTACATCTGGAAACCATCTGAGCAAATCTCAGTAAATGTGAAAAGGCCAGGGTCAGAGTGGTGGAGTTACTTGCCCAATCTTTCCCAGCTGTTCTTTGTACTACTCTGGAGAGCCCACTTGTAGCTTTATTATAAATAGCTGTATTTTCATGTCTCCTTTCCTTTCCTGTATAGAAAGCGGCACCTTAGCCCCAGCACATTACTCTATTGGTGACTATAGTTTGTCATTTTGCTACTGGAAATGGAGATTGGCAATAGAACTGGCTTAAGCAAATTTGAAGTTAACACTGCCTGAATAGACACTAGGTGGCAACACTGCAGACAGACACCAGTTGAGGATTGGACAATGGAATGTAATGCTGTAAGAAATCTTAGCCACTGGCTAATCCTACTCCTCATTTTTTGCATCTAAAAAAGAAACAGAAATCTAGGAACCAGAGATAGGAGTGACTTGCTCAACAACTTTTGTGTGACAAATGAATCATCAATTTTATTTGCATAAGAGTAGTAGCTCTTAAGTTATGAAGTAAGTTAGTAGATTATGGGATTCTGGTTGCCAGCTGATAGGTTAATGTGAGTACTCTTGTGTGTCTAGATCAAATGATGCTGTTTGGAAAAATTTCCCAACAGTTGTTTGGCTTAAAGAAACTTCAGTGGTCCCGTGACTCCAGGTACTTCTGGGAATGGCTGAACACCGTGTTCAATAAGTAAGTGAATAGGAAGAAATGTGGGACTTGTTACAGCAAGATAGGCTCCCAGTAGTTAGTTGATTATTCTTTTATTTTATTTTATTTTATTTTATTTTTTTATTTGTGAAAATACTGTACAGAGGGGTTACAATTGCATGGGCAGGATAATGTGTACATTTCTTACCAAGCATTGCAGCCTCCTCCTTTGTTTACCCTTCACATCCCTTCCCAGCTTCCCCCCTCCCCCCCCCCCCAAACCTTCTCCTTCCCCCCTCCCCCCACTCCCCCCCCAGTTGATTATTCTTGTATTTCAAGTGCTTTTCAAGTGCTGTATGATCCTAATTTTGTTTATTAATAAAATATGGGAAAAAGACCACAAGAACAGATAGTAGTCCTTGTGATGTCTTTCACGTATTCTGAAATGAATTTATGACCTTTATTAACAGAAAAACTCAACCAATATATAATTTTATAATAGTTAATTCTACAACTTCTTCAGTATTATCAAGGTAAAAATTTTTTAATGAATAGCATATTTAAAAATAACACTTCACTTGAAACTGATGTAATGTTCTCCTTGCTTAATAAAGCATTGTGATGGCTGACTACAAAAAGGTATATGTAGAAATTAATATATATAAGAAGATTCATTTGAAAGTGAAAAATATGAAAATGATTCCTTCAGTCTTTTATCATGGATAAAAATGCTAATTAAGTATAATTATTCATTCAATACATAGTAACTAGGTATCTCTGGTATTATATTACATATACATATAACATTATACTACATATGAATCAATAATGACCCCTGTTTACCTGATAAACCTATATAAAAATAATGTGTCTCAGGATTTCAGGTCAGTTTTAAAGCACTTAACTAGCATCTATGAGCACCTTAGTTGAGAGCTCCATTACTACACAAATTAAAAATGAGTAATAATCAGCTTTTCAGGAAGCTGAGATCAGAAGATGATGATTCGAAGCAGAAGAGTCTTATCTCCAATTAACCATCAAAAAACCAGAAGTAGAGCTGTGGCTCAAGTGGTAGCCTTAAATGAAAAAGCCCAGTGACAGCACCCGGGACAAGCCCCAGGATAGCATACATACACACAAAAAATAAGAAGTAATATGTAGTTCTGTGGTAAAGTGCTTGTCTGCTATGCATAAGGTTTTAGGTTCAATCCCTAGCACTACCAGCTGTCCATGGCTCACACCTATAATCCTAACTACTCAGAAGGTTGAGATCTGAGAATTGTGGTTTAAAGCCAGACTGGGCAGGAAAGTCTGTGAGACTCTTATCTTCAGTAAAGAACTGGAAGTGGCACTCTGGCTCATGTGGTAGAGTGCTAACCTTGAGCACAAAGAGGCTTAGGGACAGTACCCAGGCCTTGAGTTCAATCTCCAGAACCAGGAAAAAAGAAACCCAGCACTACTGTGTTGAACATGGTGGCACATGTCTAGAATCCTAGTACCCAGGCTACATAGTGAGGCCTTGCATATAATAATAATGAAGAGGAAGAGAAAAAGAAAAAAGATGAAGATGAAGAAAGAAGGAGAAGAAGAAAAGAACATCAGTAGCAATAATATGACAGAGTTTACCTGGAAACAAAAATGAAAGCAAAGCTGGCTCAAGTCTGTAATCCTAGCTACTCTGGAGAACTGAAGAGGATGGTTTGAAGCCAGCCTAGGGAGGAACGCATTAGACTCCTATCTCCAATTAATGTCCCCCTCCCCAAAAAAAGCCCAAAGTAGAGCTGTAGCTCAAGTGGTAGAGCACTATCCTTGAGCAAATAAAGCTCAGGGACAGCTCCCACGCCATGAGTTCAAACCCCAGGACTACACCCTCCCTAGGGGAGCAAGAGAGTTGGGGTTTTTTCCCCCATGGATTTAATTTATATTTCTATCTCAGTAACTTTGCAATGGAAATTTGTTGTTCATCTGTATGTTGGTTAGTACCATTAAGAAGCTGAGGATTATAGTAAAAGCAAACTACTTTCTTCTCTTGTCAATAGAGTGGATTATGAACGCATCAGGGATGTTGGCCCTGACAGGGCTGCATCCGAGTGGTTACTGCGCTGTGGGGCTATGGTGCGTTACCATGGCCAGGAGAAGTGGCAGAAGGATTACAACCACCTCCCAACAGGCCCTCTGAACAAATACAAGATTCAAGCGATTGATGCCACTGACTCTTGTATCATGAACATTGGATTTGATTACATGGGTAATTACTCTGTCATTTTGTTCATGGGAATGTGGATAATTTGCAAGACCATTTTGGTATAGTTTACTCACTATTATAGGAATGTCCTTTCTGCCTGTTTCAGTGCAATCAAGTTTATTTCTTCCTGTGTTTGGTATGACTTTTTGTATTTTATCAATGTCTTAGAACTTGTTAGGCAGATGCTCTACTGCTTGAGCATGCCTCAGCCACTTTTGATTGTTATTTTTTTAATAGTGTTTCTCAATTATGCCTAGACCAGCCCGGAGCATGATCCTTCTACTTACAATTCCTGCATAGCTAGGATGTCAGGCATGCATTACCACACCCAACTTTTATAGGTTGAGATGGAGTTTCATGAACTTTATGACAGGGCTGACCTTAAACTGCATTTTTTCAATCCTCTTCCAAGTAGCTAGGGTTACAGGCATGAAATAACCCATCAAGCTTATTTTTAAAGTAAGTCGAGATTACTAATACCTTTCTCCCCTCACTAATCTTCCTTCTGTGTGCCTTTCTTAACTTAAAAATCAGTCTTTTTTTATTTGTCAGATTTTTCTGTCTTTGGAAAACCCTTAATAAGATTAAGACTAATTGTGCCCATCCAGCTTCTGCTAGTGGGCATTTCTTTCCTACGCATACAAACTGTGTAGTGAATAGCTTGTATGGGTAATAGGTGAGTAGTCATTCTGGTTTGCTTAGGCCTGTTACTCCTAAGCCAAGATAGTCTTAGGCAAATCAAGATAGTCATTCACCTTAATGTAAAGCCAATTCTTGTTTTTGTTTTTTTCCCTCCCAGTGGGCCTAGAGCATGTTGAAAAAATAAAGTTCTGCAAGTGTCATTATATTGAAGATAATTGTTTGCAGAAGCTTAGTCAACTTGAAAACTTACAGAAAAGCCTATTGGAAATGGAAATCATTGCCTGTGGGAATATCACAGACAAGGGCATCTTCGCTTTGCTTCATTTCAGGTAGGTGCTCAATGCCCAAATGAAAACTTGGTAACAATAAAGTAGATAAGGTGATTTAACACAGTCTTCATGTAAGTTTTCTGAAACGTAACAAATTGAATTAATTCATAATGCTAATTAATTCATAAGTGGAAGTGACTTTTGCTTTCCTTTTTCAGAAACCTCAAGTATTTGTTTTTAAGTGATCTTCCTGGAATAAAAGACAAAGACCATATTGCCAACGCCTTTAAGACTGCACTGCCTTCTTTAGAAATAAAGTTAAACTTGGAATAAAATAATAAGCATCTTATTTAACTGTAACAAATCATCTGAAATTGTTGGTCCTAAATTGCAGCAGATACTCAATAATCAACATAATATGATGGTTAGATGTGGAGAGTCTATCATACATAGAAAATAGACATTCAGATGTGACTCAGTAAAATTACTATCAGAAGTAAGAAAATATGTATATTTAAGTCTTAAGAAAAATGCTTAAGTAATGTTTAATTGTAGTGTATTAATGTAAGTATATAGTAAATATCTCAATGTAGATATTTAGAATTCTTTAAATTTATTTAACTATAATATATTCTTTATTGAATTATAGTAGTTTACACTTTAATTTTAAAATTATGAAGCATGTTACTATACTTGTGCAATTATGAAAATTGGAAGCTCAATTATAGATCCATTGATGGAGTCAGTTATGCAAGGTAGACTGCTTGTGGAGGCCTGCTTACACATGCTTCCCAAGGGCTTCGTGCATTTCTCATAAACCTGCATTATTGTGTTCTTGACAATATAAACCTTTTCTTTTTCTCTCTTCCTTTTTTCTTTGCAGTACTGGGGCTTGAGTTCTGGACGCTGTCCCTGAACTCCTTTTGCTCAAGGCTAATGCTCTACCATTGAGCCACAGCACCACTTCCAGCTTTTTTTTGTAATTAATTGGAAATAAGAGTGTTATGGACTTTCCTGCCTGGACTGGCTTCTAACTACAATCCTCAGATCTTAGCCTTCTAGCTAGGATTACAGGTGTGAGCCATCATAAGCCGATTATAAGCCTTTTTTTTAAGTCCCCTTTCTCCAAGTAAAAAATTGCTGGATAATTTGTCTATTTTGTCATCTCAAGTTAGTATTTTATTAAAATCATAGATGAGGGCTGGGAAGGTGGCTCAGTGGTAGAGTGCTTGCCTTGCATGCATGAGGCCCTGGGTTCCATTCCTTAGCACCACATAAGCAGGGAAAAAAAAGCCAGAAGTGGCGCTATGGCTCAAGTGGTAGCGCACTAGCCTTAAGCTGAAGAGCTGAGGGACAGCGCCCAGGCCCAGAGTTCAGGGCCCACGACTGGACCCCCCAAAAAATAATAAAATAAAATCATAGGTGAAAGTCTGAATTCAAATAACTTTTGCTAACTGCAATAGAACAGCCATACATACCAGTGGACTACACTTACTTTTCATCAATTAATGCCAGTGGCTCGTGCCTGTAAACCATTGCTACTCTGGAGGTGGAAACCTGGAGGATTGCACTTAAAGCCAACCTAGGCAGAAAAGATCAAGAGATTCTGTCTCCATTAATCAGCAAGATGCTGGATTGGAGGTTTGGCTTAAGTGGTAGAGCACCAACCATGAGCAATCAGCTAAGCATAAGTGTAAAGAACTGAATTCAAGCCCCAGGATTGGTATACACACATTCTTCAAACAGAAAATTTTAATATGTCAATTAGAAATTAATTTTTCTTCCTTCAGTATCTTGGATGCTACCTTCTATGAGCTCAAGGGATATCAAAAGAAGTAGAAACACAAGCAGAAAAGTGAAGTTATATCTAGAAAACCATAATAAAGTATGCCATAAATAGATAAAAAATATTTTATACACTTGAAATAGCTGGTTCTTTTATTATCATTTGCTAACTTGTTTGTGAATTTCTATATGTTTTATTTGAACATTAAAAGATTAAATATAAGATTGACCAAAAATGATCTTAAAATATATTTTTATGATACTGCTTTCAGGCAGAAATGTAACTTTAGTTGCATATAAGCTTATAGGGAAAATATTCACCCATGGTTAATAAGGAAATGCAAATAGCGTATAGCATAAGTGATATAATACTTGCTAGTATCACTGTCGCTTACAATTCAGAAAGTAGTAAATAAAAATTAAGGATGTAGAATAGTCTCATATGATGAGGTGGTGATTCCATGCTGAAAAAGATATTATGGTTAGCTGAGCATAAGCATACAGTCAATAGAACTGAGTAGAGAAAACATGAGCCCTTTTTCTCAGGTTTATTTCATTCCTGAGTTGAGACGACTAAGCATGATGTAGTCTGGAGCTGCTTTTCTAGTCTAAATGTTTTGCTGTAAAATTACTGGGTGATTTAGGTGGTTATAGTCATCTGTGTCTGTCAATACATTGTTCTTGGGTTAAAGAAAAAAAGGAAGACAATTCTAACTAGTCACAGAAGTTGGATACCCTTCCTCGTCATTTGAGCCAAAGCTATGTAACAGAAATTATATGGGTCAAGAAGCTAATACATTAGGAATTGTATGATAAGTAAACTAGCTGGGTAGCCAGAATTCTTGAACAAATGACAAAATGTGGAGAAAATTTAGTGGATTACTTAGCAGTAAGTGAATGGGGACAAATGCTGTCATGAAAAAAAATATGAATACAGGAAGAAACTGAGCATGTAGAAGAAAAAATGTAAAGATAAAGTGCCACATTGAAGACTGTGGCTGAGAATTGCTAGAAAATAGTGAAGCACATGAACCAGAAATGGTGATGAATGGTAAGAAAGTGACATGGGGCTTTGACACCCTTGTGTCCAGGGTCAAGGAGGAAAAAGCTTTGGTTAGTACTAAGTAAGCCAAAGCAAAGGCAATTGCATATCATTATAAATCTCACTGTACAAACCTAGAAATCCTCAATATGACTTTGACTACTTTCTTATTGGTGCTCATATATTAGTTGTTAGAATAGAATGTATATGTATACAAGTATATACAAGTATACATATATACAAGTATATATGTGTGAGTATATATACATTTGTATATACACCTAAAAGATGCTTTAGGGAGTTAACAAAATATAATTTAACAAAATATCAGTTAACATGACCTGAAGGTCACAAACAGTTCTAAAACCCCTAACTTGTAGAACTATCTCCAAGCCTGAGGCTAAGCTAGGGAGAAAGAAGTACTAATTAATTTTAGGCTGACAGGTTCAGTTCCTGTGAAGCTTGGTGGTCTTGTTCTACCTGTTGACCACCTGGGTCAGCCTCTAAGATTCATGCCATTGGTTTTGTTTTTGTTTTGTTTTGCAAGTCCTGGGGCTTGAACTTAGGGCCTGGGCACTGTCCCTGAGCTTCTATTGCTCAAGGCTAGCACTCTACTATGTGAGCCACAGCACCACTTCTGGCTTTTTCTGTTTATGTGGTACTGAGGAATCAAATCCAGGTCTTCATGCATGCTAGCAAGTACTGTAGCAACATTCCCAGCCCTCATGCCATTGTTGAAAGGCAATTTAGGTTAACAGGTGTAGATGGATTAGTAATCTATCTTGCCAGCAAAAATGACTTAAATTGTATTTTTTTACTAGAGATAAAGAGAAAAACATAAGTCAAGCTCAATAGATCACACTTGTAATCCTAGTTCTTGAGACCCCCCCCCCCCCGTCTCAACCATCAAAAGCTAAGCATTTGTAGTGCACCATCCCAGTTATATAGGAAGCACAGAGAGGGTTATTGTGGTCCATGACTACCCTGGGTATAAATGCAAGATCCTATCTGAAGAGTAACTAAAGCAAAAAGTTCTAGAGGTATGGCTCAAGTGGTAGAGCACCTGCCTAGCAAGCACAAAGCCCTCAGTTCAAACCCATGACTGCCAAAAAAATACTAGAAGGTATATATATATATATATATATATATATATGTGTGTGTGTGTGTGTGTGTGTGTGTGTGTGTATACACACACACACACATAAACAAACTGGTACACAAACATAAAATTGTAGTATTTTATTTATTTATTTTTTGGTCGGCCGTGGGGCTTGAACTCTGGGCTTGGGTGCTGTCCTTGCGCTCTTCAGCTCAAGGTGAGCACTCTACTTCTTGAGCCACAGTGCCACTTCTGGTTTTCTAGTGGTTTATTGGAGATATGAGTCTCACGGACTTTGCTGCCCGGGCTGGCTTTGAACTGTGACCCTCAGATCTCAGCCTCCTGAGTAGCTAGGATTACAGGTGTGCACCACTGGCATCTGGCTTGTAGTATTTTTTAATAATATGTTTTTAGATATTTTGAGCATTTTTAAAGTGTGCTCATCCTTGACTTGAACTCAGGGTTTAGGCACTGTCACTAAACATTTTTTTCCCCCTCAAGGCTAGCACTCTACTCCTTGAGTCATAGCCCTACTTCTAGCTTTTTGGTGGTTTACTGGAGATAAGAGTCTCATGTATTTTCCTGCCTTGGCTAGCTTTGAACCACAGTCCTCAGATCTCAGTCACCTGGGTAGCGAGGAATATGGGCGTGAGCTACCAGTGGCTACTCAAAGAATGTTTTAAAAATATAAAAATCAAGAGATAGAGCAAGCAAACAGGAAATATAATTTTAACCTTTTCATCTCAAGAACTAAAATTATCCTTAAATATGTTGAAACAATCAGAAAGGCAGGAGATAAGATTCAAGGCAACGGAGATCCAGGAAAACACAGGCATTTTGTAATCCATTTTTTACATGTGGTATATAGTACAACTGAAGCATGAATCTTTTTGATATCATTAATTTTTTTAGAGTTATGGGCAGTAGACACAGTTCTTTTCATAAGCTTAGCAGCTGAGATAAAAAAAGAAAAACATAAGTGAAACTCTAAACAAGTTTTTCCTTTCTGCTGTGGATCGAATCAGCAAACCTAGGTCTGGAATTTCCCATCGTGTCTTGCCAAGTGGCCTCCCAATCACTTGCTTATGTTTCCTCCTGGTATGTTTACAATACTCTTGCTTTGTTTTCAAATGTGTATGTTTTGTGTCTTCAACATTGAGCAATTCTTCCTTAATCATCAATCTTAGCTCCTTAAATGTTTGGAAAACGGTAGCTAAGTTTCTTAGTATTACAGTAGTATTTCTTGTTATCCAAAGCTGGAAGGATGCTGCTGCTGGTTAGCTGAGGTAGGTACTGGAAATGAAAATGCAAAACACAGTTAGGCTGAAAACAGGGCCTTGTATTCTCCCCTTCCCCCCCACCCCACCCCATTATTTAGAATGCATCACAAAAGGGGCAATTCAGGAACTTTTTCAGCACATAAATTCCCTTTTGATTGTGTGTGTGTGTGTGTGTGTGTAATATGATAGAAAATAGAAGAAAAACATTCTAACACAGTAAGTGGCCTATCTCAGGGCCCTGGGGTTCGTGTAGTACCTATTCCTAATGACCATTGCATCTATTTCCTTCAAACCACACACAGCCCCAGATGCA